GGTATCGTATAGGCCCTAACGACGCCTTTCCATCAAACTACCCCAGGTTAACGTCAGCTAGCAACAGCAGAAATGACCGCTACCAGGCTGAGGAAGCAGGTCTTCTCTGCACAAAGGAAATTAAATGGTATAACACAGGCTTATTATACTTCGAACTGGACAATTCAAATGTAAACGTGATATGAAAGAATTTCGGTAAGGAAACCAACGAAAGTTAGAGCAGTATTTATTGCTCATTCAGCGTGTAACAATACATCACTGCGCTTCAAATGATCGGCCTTCACATTGGGATTTCCTTTCAAAGGAAAGAAGGAAGCACAGCATAAATGCTCTTTAAACGACTAGCTCAGATTTAGTCCCACGCGCTCTTGTCAGACGGACGAAAACCGTAATACACGTCCACCAGTCGTTTTAATTTCCTGCTTGCCGTGTGCCGTTCTTGATAAGTTGACACCGCAATTAAAAAGAAAGATCTGCAGAAAAAAAGGTACATACGAGTGGATAAAGTCATCGATAGTTCCGCACTAAAATGCTGCTCGCAAGTATAAAAATAAGATATATCTGTCCTCTGTCCTGTCATTGCCTGATGTGCTCTTTTTCGCTGAGGTGAGTGAAAAATTCTACTTGACTACGAGTCTGCACACCGCATTGATTGCAGGCGAAGGGGTTTTGTGGATTGTGGAATCTCATATGAAGTTCGAAGAGTGTTCGGTTTTTAAAAATAATCTCACAGAAGGGGCATTCACTGGACACTGACAAATTTTGCCCTTCGAGGGGGCTGTTGTCAAGTAGACGTGGGGTACCCTCCTGGAGATGCAGATCACACGACGGAATCCGACTTCTGAATGCGCCTGGGGCTTCCTTTCTGGTTTCGCATTTCTTGTCTGACTCCGTGTCCACCTCCATACGATGCGCACCCCTTGAACTCAAGTCGAGTATCCCATCGCATAAATTCATAGGGGAAGTACTTCCGCCGCCACCATCAATCCTCGGGAGGGTGGAATGGAGCTGTGGTCGCTCTGGAGCGCTTTCATTGTGCGTCGCTTCAGCTGTCGGAGGAAAAAGGGACGAAGTTCCGTCGACATCGTCCCGCCAAGCGTTTAGAACCCACATCGGATTGTTTGACTCGCCTTTAGGCAACTGGGGCATTGACCGGAAAGGCAGTTCCTGCCGGTCTGTTCTCGCATCCCCTGCTTTCGTCCCCGGATGATGTTGGCTCATCAGTGAGTCCATACTACTGAAGGCATGCTGCTGTGCGGAGAGCATAAACGCGGCCATCGCCGCGACAGCATTAGGTGATGGAGGGAAATTCAGGGGCAGTCCCGGTGACAGAAATGGCATCGAGGGAGCGAAACCCGAAAGGGGCGAAGGAAGGCCTTTTGTTGAAAGCCAGGAGGAGTATGGGGGTGCGAAATTGGCGGTGCGGCAGGTTTGGGCTTCCGTCAGCGCAGGCGGTGGTGGAGGTAGAAGTGTCTGGAAGGCCTTCTCAAAGGAGTTAAGCGCACAGTGAGACTGCAGCTTGGCTTCAGGTTGGAAGGATCTAAAGAGCGGTGATCTATCCCCCGGGGGGTTTGGGGACAGAGTGAAGTGTGGAATGAAGGGACTGGTGGGCAGGCTGGTGGTCTCGGTCAAACAACGAGCCGAGGGGTTACCTTTCGCCTGTAGGGTATCTGTAACACTGCAGCTATTCTCCGGAAGGCTACCGTC